TGAGTTGGATTCAATGTACACCAATCTTAAAAAAAGCCTTGAAAAGGGACCAACCACCAAAACATACTATTGACCACGGATGACGTAGCATTATCGATTTTTTGACACGTTTAAAAATGTAGACTGATCTTCACACAATTCCCTCGCGTCCGAAGACGACCTGGTGTGCCAGTGTCGAAAAGTTACGATAAAGTTTGTTCCTGTTTCCCGAAGAATCTCTTCTATCAAATCATTCTCCCTGCTTTATCAAACACCCCTGCCAGAAAGAACTATTGGCTAAACTTCGGCGAGGAAACTACTAAGATGTGACCTCTACACAGAATCGGTGAACAGTCTTCTTTTGCTACTGGCCCTCGGGTTATCTACTCCATCCACCCGCTAATTAGATGCTTCGGATCAGTCCAAAAGCCTTCTTTGTTGGCGCTGGCTTAATTAATTAAATTCCAAATTCCCGTTCTACTGACGGTAATTCAGTACAATTGATTTTGTCTGGAGTTGCGGTGTCGGCGGGAGGAAGCTTGGTCGCCATGATGGCAGGTCGCACACACAGGCAAGTGACAATGCAGAATGCCTGGAGTTGTGAGTCAGAGAGAGAGAGAGTCTTACCAGGAGAATAGTATAAATCTGTCGTTTCCGCTCCACGGGCACTGCGGGCGACTTGAGCGCGGTTTCAATCACCCGATGCAGCATGTAGTGTCGTGACCATGCATAAAACTCCTGGGGAGAGAGGGTCACGAGGCTGGAGGCCAGACGAATGGGTTTACGCATAGTGAACATCAGCATGTCCTCCGCCAACAGACAACCAGTCAAATTCAGGGTCTTCAGGCCAGTTCCCTCCAGCTGCAGGGGACGTTTTGGTTTGAAGGGCAGGAAGTCCGGCGACTCGAGCGTCATGACCTGAGCCTTCGCCTCCTCCCCCTCCTCTTCCGTCGCCTCTTCGTCACCGTTGCCAACGGTGGCGTTCATGGTCGCTGGGCTCTCCTTTTCAGCGGACTTCTCGAGATCTTCAAGGCTTCGCAGGCTGACGAGTGAGCGCACAAAACGACTGTCGTGTTGTTTCACCTTCAGCGTATAGCCGAAGGCCTCAAGGAGGGACTTAAAAAGAGAGCAAAGGAAAAAATTATGGTTTCACCAGGTTTGAAGTTGAGGGAGTTGACAGGTGACGAGAACTAACCTGAAGGGTAACAATCTATTATATAAAACACAACGGAAATCCATAACTCTAGAAGTTTGTAGTATGGGACCGGAGATAAATGGGGGTTATGGGGTTGGAGGGGCATTACGAGGGAGCAGGAGACAAAATATAGCAAACAAAAACAGGAAATAGTCAATAAAATCATTATAAAAACTAATATATAGCAACGAAAATGTGCGCGACAATTGAAAAATCAACAAAAACGGCTTGGCACAAATCGTAGATAACTGAATAAACCGTCCGTGGGTAAATCACACTAGGTCAGTAGTCAATGGGAAATACAGCCAACAGAAAGCAAGGAATGTGGAACTGAAATCCCCAAATGGCCATAATTATTTGAGTGACATGGGCGAAGTGTTACCTACAATATATTGCTATCATCTGAAGGTGTACTACCTCTGCGAATATTGCGGATGCTCTCAGATTAAATAGCACTCAAATGAGAGAAAGCCAGAAGTTGCTCTCGAAGGTGTTCTGCATCCTTCCACACGGGAACAGTTTAGTATCACTGTGGTGCTTCCGCAAACAACCCCTCAGATCACATTTTAGAGGTTTCGGTTGGACATTACCTTCAGACAACGAAACAATGCGACCCGACAGGTGGCCAGTTTGCAGAATTTAAATATTCGGTAGATTAGAGATAGACAGAGCAATTCCAGTCAACGGTACGGAGAGGACGCTTTGTTGAGAACTACAGTGGGGATTGGGATGCCCGGGCAACTATGTCTACACACCAGGTCAGAAGGTTTTCGGATTTCTCAATCACTC